CGTTTAGGCGATGGTTCATCAACCTTAACGTTTTGAGATCTCTTTACGAGGTTAGACAAATCATCTATCGCCGACACAATGGAGTCTATTCCTAATCTCTGTTGTAGGAAGGACAGCGACTCTTCTGTAAACAGCTCGGTCGACAAAGATGGACCGTCATCTTGTAGAAGCGACAAATCGTCAGTATTATCTGCATGGAGAGACTCTTCGGTAGTCTTCGGCATTTTTCTTCAGGCAAATTTGCTGAGAAATATAAAGGCATAGGAACAAAGTCCCGTTAATAGTCAACTCGTTTACAAAATTGTATCAAGTAAAACGAGCAAGGAACGTGAGCTTACCTTGTGCGCTGGCACAAAGAAAGGACACCATTGCGATGGCTATTCGAAAATACACGAAAAGAATTGCCTGAAAAAGCCAAAACATACTTTCATTGATAATTATATAATAAACAGAATATTACATGGGCGCTTGGAGATACGAAATTTATCTTCTCGTGTTGAAAATCTCTCACTCGTTCGCCGTGCGCTCACTTGTGAGAGATCTTTTCAACACTCGAAGATAAATTTCGTATCTCCGCGCGCCCATGTAATATCCTCTATTTAGTCAACATGTAATAATCAAATAGACACAAAAGAAAACAATAGAATTAGGGTCTACTAAAGTGTATTAGTCTTATATCTATTTAATGGGTTTAATGACTTCACTCTTAATAAAATGTATTTGAAATATATCTTTAATGAAGTGGGGTCCCTGTGGTTTGTGTATTTTTCATAACATTAAATGATAATGATAATAATAATAATCACAGCTTTAACTGTGATTTTAAATAATGATAAATGAAATTCATTAACCTTTTTAGAGCAGATTTCTCATGACTGAAATACTCACAGTAGGAGTATGGCATGGCACGGTAGTAGCCTTGAACTGGCATTTTGATTGGATGATTAGTTAACATGTACGCTGTGATTGACTCAATGAATGTTTACGATGACCATGCCATATCCTATGACTTTTTTGAAGTCAATAGACCCCTTCACAGTTCCCTGCACCATCTTAAAAGGTAGCCGTGCCTTTACATTGAAGCGAGACGAACGGTGAGCTTGCAGTGATAGAGACGTGAGTAATTTATTGTTCAAGGTGTTAAAAAAGGTCTCTATCATTGCAAGTTCACCATTTGTCTCGCTTCAAGGCAAAGGCACGGCTACCTTTCAAGATGGCCCAGGGAACTGTGGAGAGGACTATTGAAATCTAGCTTGTAGAATAAATGAATTTTTACCCCAGGAAAATACATACTGACCTCTCTAACAGACACTTGGCTAAAACCTTCAGTGTCTGTAATAGAGAGGTTTTCTACGACAAAGCATGATAGCATGATAGGAAACCAAGTACTTATGCTTTTTCAAGCTACTCTAAAAATTCCCCCAACAATTTTTCCCTTTGGCACTTTCTATGGAAATGTAAGTATTTTGAACAGAAGAAAATAACAGTAAGTTCTTTATGATAATTCTATTGATTTCCTTGTTGATTTGTGTAGTACTCATTTTCCCATCATGCTTTGTGCACATTGGTTATTTATTCGTCGCGAATCATATTTTAGTAAAGAAATGTATTTCATATTTTTCAATTACTTTTTTTGTTTAATGAATGAATGAAGTAATTTATTATATGAATGACTGAAAATATATTGAATGACTCAAAATTGAGAAATAAAACAAGTTTGACTAGAATGAGCTATTTTGTTAGATAATAAAGATAAAAAGGTAAAAACAAAGAGTTGTGGAAAAATATCAAAATAACACGACAAAGGTTTTGGAATATAAATTTCAATCAAATGTTACTTTAGAAATAAAAAAAAAAGCATTCAAATATGAGTTTATTTTGAAACATATTTTTGTATTAAAGTAATTTACTTTGAAGAAGGTTGTTTCAGTGTCATATTGACACCATCGTCAAGTTCAAAGTGATTACAAAGACAAGAATTCAAAACGGTCAGATGACCACTTTTTAGAATTCCTCATTTATGGGCAACACTTCTTTTCATCTCTGTCGTCGGTGTTTCTATCAAAAGCAACAGAATCGTCTTTCTTTTCTTCCTTCTCTTTTATCCCTTTCATGTACTCCCGAACGAACAAATCTTTCGCGAGTTTTGTGAAGAGAAGTCTGACGTTATATCCTGTCTTGGCACTTGTTTCAATGTAGATGTACCCAAGACGTTCAGCAAAGTTACAAGCTTCTTGGTAACTAACCTGTAGGGTGAAAATCAACAAAAAAAAGTGGCGATAATTGTCTTGCATTTTCCAAGCCTGAAATGAAATTTGGGTCTATTCACATATGATGATGATTCATATCAAACATAGCCGGAAAATCGCGAAGACAAAGTTTGGTGACTTCCACATTGTTGTGACCTTTCACTGGTGGAATTTACATCACCCATGGTGCATTTCGGGCTTGGTATGCAACCTTCAACCTTTACCAACCTTTTTTCAATAGCTGTATCTAAGTATAGGCTTCGCTTGGTAAGTTGTTTTAATTTGCTTACAGACACCTTTACTTGTATTTAAGGGCGCATAAAAACGATACGACATTGGTGTATTTTACGGCATCCCATGGTGCAACGTCGCGCGTGTCGACCGCGCGCATATGCTCCGATAGCGAGTTTTAGATTTACGTTCACGGCAAACGTGAAACGTCAGTTGACCAGTAAGAAAATTCTTTTAAATTAATGAAAAAGAATCGCAAAAAAGTCCAAGTGGTAGAAAAACAAAAGAATATTTGCGCTTGGTGAGAAGGTTTGTAAAAGGTAAAGTAAAATACAGGAAAACTATGAAAACGTCCTCACGTTTGCCGTTTGCGGGGAGAAAAAAAAGTCAATATAAAACTCTCTAATAAAGCTCCGAAAACACGGGAAACTGATGCGCGCAAGGAGATTTTACAGGTAGCAATGTTACTTCAAAATAATTAAAACTATAAATGAGAAAACGCTACCCAACTCTAGCCGGTACGCTAAAACAATGAAACCTCTTCCGCTAAAAGCAAGTTTAAGGTCGTGTTTCTTAGATGCGCCCAACAACGTACAGCACTGCGTATAATCATTAAGTTACCGGCAAATATTAAGTTTATTATTTTCTCTATCTCCTAACACCCCATCCTATCCCATCCCCTCTGCTCGCCTCCATTAAGATTTTAATGGTTCCTTCCCATACTACGCTTTACCAACACGACACTCTTAATTTCGTTGAGGAGAAAAATAGCAAAGCAGCGACTGTTTGACATACCTTTCTTCTTTCTTCTTCATCTGTCTTGTTACCAATAATCACAACTATGATACCATCCCTACTTCGTTCCTGCCTGATCCTAGATATCCATTCTTTAAGGTTTTTAAAAGATTTAGAATTGGTTATATCAAATACAATAAGCGCTACGTTAGAGTCCCGTATGTAACTGTTAATCAAACACCGAAACCTCTCCTGGCCTGCGGTATCCCAAATCTGCAAGCGAATCTCAATGTCATCTGGAATGAAAAGAAAAGATTTCTTTGGCTTTTAGAAAATCATTGTATGATGACTATTTGGACATTAAAATGACATTTGCTTTAGGGCAATTGTCTCCAGGTTCAACAGCCTATCCCAATCTGGAGGCATTAATACTAAATTACTAACAAATCACTCATGATTGTAAGCTGCACGGCTGCTACTAGAGCCTTAATATGCAGCCCGTAATGTCCTCCACTGGTCATGATCGTGAAGCCCATTGAGACCATGTAAAAATGCGCTATATAGGAACCCCGTTATTACTATTATTATTATTATTATTATTATTGTTATTATTATTATTATCATAAACAAGGACGAATCCCAATTGTCCAATCGTATTACAATATTTGAATACAATGCATGGGAAAACATACTGCGCATGCTTGTAGAATCGTTTTTCCTTTTTGCACATGCGCAGTGATTGAAATAACTTTGCAACCAACACCACCCAAGATGTCTGGGTTTTTTTTACTTCCGCCAATCAAAAAATTCTTAAAAAATGACGGAAGCCATGTCGAATTATAACTGTTTCTCTTGGTCGCGTAATTGCCAAAATGGGTATAAATTAAACCGTTTTAAAACTGTATAAAATACTTAATAATCTTGGGAATAATATGCAATACTCACCAATTACAATATTTCTCGTCATAAAATCGATTCCAATCGTTGGTTGATATTTGTCGTCGAAAATGTCATAGACAAACCTGTAGGCGAGTGAGGATTTCCCCACCCCCTGGTCCCCGAGGAAAACAATTTTATGCCTCTTCGGGGCAACTGCCTTGTGCGATGTCGGCATTTTGTCACGAATTCGCGCGTCCTCGCGTATCGTACATTAATGACGTCACAAACTAATGACGTCACAATTTATTAATTTCCAGTACCTCCTCTGAGTTCTCTGACGGCGGCATATCGATCTTCTGTACTTTATAGCCAGAAAGAAAATACAAGCGCGCGCACGTTCTTCCGATAAATATAAGCGAAAAATAACTTTTTTGACTTTCCTTCGTACTTCGCCGATTTTTTCAGCTAAGTTGAATTATCTTGACAAGAAATCTTTAACATCAGCAGCATGCGAAAAGCTTACACAACATCTAAAGACCTCGATAAATACGTGATCTTTTATTCGTATTTATGTCTTATTAAATACAGTTAACATGCGCGAAGACAAGCACGTCCATTACAGTCAGAACTGAGAAAAAGTTAGTAATGAAATCATTGCGCCTAGTTTGTCAATAGGTCATTTTCGAGCTGCAATCCGTATCTTTAGCTCAGAAAATAAAAAGGATTTCTGTTTTGATTGATGAAATGCTTACAGATTCAATGAGACTTTTACATCTTTTTTATAACTGAAAAAAAAAATCCTACGCTAGTGTTAAAAATTCTTAAAATGAGAAATAGACGGGTCACGTGACCCTACGTCCCTTAAAACGACCAGCTGTTTCAAAATGCACATCCGGAATGAAAAGAGCACCTCGACATTAGTAGGGTGGCGGAGTTTTAGCTCATAACAAGTGAAAAAGGAGAAATGGCATTAAATATAAAATGGAATATTTTGCCAGGATTTGCCATACAGCACATTTTCCCATACCAATCCCTATAAAATATTTCATTTTATATTCAATGCCATTTATCCTATAGTCAACTTTATGAGCTGAAACTTCGCCTCCTCACTAATGTTGAGCAGTTCTTTTCATTTCTAAAGTTAGTTTTCACACAACTGCTCGTTTTAAGGGAGGTAGGGTCACGTGACCTGTTAGTGCAAGTCGTCTATTGAAAGAAAGAAAACTATAGGTTTATGTTGATTTTATGGAGAACCGAAACCTCCTCGGCCTATTCGATAATTATTAAATCCTAATATCAACAGAGGTTTATATTGTTTTATCAATACAACATGATTGCCATTATTGACAAGGCTCAAGAGAGGGAAGCCTAGATCAGAGCCTCGATATCAATCTCTAGAGCTGCGCATGGCAAGTTAAGGTCAAACCTACTGATGACGTCAGGATGCAAAACACCCACAATGCCAACGGGTTTCCCATTGACAATCACCTCACCACATCGACCAGGGAAAAAAGTGGAATCTGTTGAGGAAATAATGTCTGTTTTAGGAAGAATTTTCTTTCACAGATTTTAAGTAAAAACAATCAAATCGATAATTATTGGTTTCTCGCTTGATTCGAGGGTTTTTTCCGGGTTCTCAGGTTTTCCTTCCTCAAAAAAAAACTTATTCTACATGTGAGTTAGCCATTCCCTGACTTAGATCAGCCCAGAGGTTGTTTCAGGGTTCTGTCTGTGAGTTAGCCGTGCCCTGACTCAGATCAGCCCAGAGGTTGTTTCAGGGTTCTGTCTGTGANCCCAGAGGTTGTTTCAGGGTTCTGTCTGTGAGTTAGCCGTGCCCTGACTTAGATCAGCCCAGAGGTTGTTTCAGGGTTCTGTCTGTGAGTTAGCCATGCCCTGAATTTGTTCAGCCGTGACTTGCGCAGGTATCACGTGAGTAGTTGGCGAGTGCACGCATCACGTGATTCACCATTATGCTGCTTCAGATGGTATCCTTGCTGAGGATCTTTAGTTTTGTCGGCTGTTGGCTTGATCTCCAATAACTGCATGGTACGATCCAACAGGCCATGGATAACCTAAAACACACAAACACACTTGAGAAAAGAAGTAGAAGCTCCTAAAAACCTTGATTTTCTTGCGCTCATTCTCATAATTCCGCGACCGATTGAGCCCAAGATATCTGGGGTTTTGGCTTTCGTCGATCAAAAAATAGTTACTTAGACGTAGGACATTTGTTTGATGGCAGCCAAAAATCCAGCCTTCTTGGGCTGAGAGTGGGTCGCGCAATTATGAAAATGGGTTTTAATGAATTTATTTCATAATAATTTCGCCAATAAAATAAGTTAACTCTATTCTTTTCATACCTCGAAACCTGGCGTTTTGTTGTAGTTTACTGCGCAGAAGCGTCTGTTGTTTCTCGCTCCGACATCTGTTACAAGAAGGGAAGTTCAGGTGAAGGAATACGGCGTAAAGAAGGGAGGAAAGGAAAGAAAGGGAAACGAAAGGGAAAACGAAAGCAAACACTAACGAAAAAGGAAATGAAATGGAATGGGAAAAGGATGGAAGGGAGGAAATAACAAAAAGAGGAATCAAGATGCAAGAAAGAAATATCTCAATACCTTTCTTGTCATCTTTGTAAACGACATCAGACATCTCGAACAGCCTTATGGGTAATGGCATTTTCTTGTTAGAGCAGATGGTTTTTAGTAACCCTGGTAACAACGTCGTCCTGGCAACCTAAAGATACGATGGCAAAGTTACAATTTTATTCCTGAATGAGGAAAAGAGAGGAAAACGAGATTTGCGACTTGCCTGGAATTCCTGAGTCTTTGGGTTTCCTATGTGAATAGCACGTGTCTCATTCAAGGGCTTCTTGAGCTTTTCTGATATGTCATCACGTGAACACTACGTGATAAAATACGAAGAACCAATCAAAATTAAACTTAGATGAACCAATCAGAATAAAGCAATGTCGTCACAGTTCATTGGGCCAATCAGAATAACAGATAATGAATCAATCAAATTTTTTTAAAAAGTTATCGGATATCGGCTTTTGAAAAGAAAACTTAGACTTAGACTTGGACTTTATTTATTCACACACTTGACAATGATAATATTCATTTACAAAAGAACTCACCAACGCGAACGTTAAAACCTCTGTGAATCCTGCCTGCGCGATTTCTTGTTTCAACAAGTCACACACAGTGTTCAGCTTGAACTGAAATAATAATAATAAAAAAACACAGACTTGGAGTTAATAAAACAACAACACGTACTCACTCACTTCCTGTAAGATACTCTCTAGCTCACTAGAGGTTAAAAATAAGCGTAAGGCATTCAGGCCTTGAGAGAAAGAAAAATTGTCCTGCATACGCCGAGGGATATTGACAGTCAAAGTCAACGTTTTGTAAGGTTATTGATCTAAGTTGGGATTCAGCATTACCTGGTTTGCAATGGTGAGTGTAGATGGTACGGTTTTGACGATGTTGTTAAAACCATAAGCAATGGCTGCGTCTTCTATGATATCGCACGCGTGGATGACATGTGCAGCGATGTCAAGGAAAACTACCTTAACTTTTATCACTAAGCTATTCTTTGTTTCTTCCCCTTGTTTTGTAATCGTTGTTTTTGGAATTGCGAATACCAGCACTAAACGTAAAACTACTTGCGCACAGATGCCGTAGAGGTGGACACACAGGGCGAACGTTATGGTTTAAAAATTCCGTGCGCTCAAGCCTTTTCCCTCTGTCATTCCTATCGGACTTTCTCATCAACATCATTCTTAGCCTTGAATCTAACTAATGATGATGATGCCAAGCTTCAAGACGAGACTACACGCGTTAGAAAGTAACGTACATTGTCTGTTGTTTAATCAACTGTATTAGTATTGTATTTAAAGGATATCAGCTCTTGTTGGAGGAATCTCGACTTTAATACCTTTGCCACCTTCCACTACCTCGCTTACGAGACACATCCTCGTCAACATCTTGGCCAGATTCTCTGGAGTTTCCCTAAATAAAGAAAAAATACCAAAAGTCGTAATTTAGTCGCTAACAAATTTATCATGGCTGTTTTTTCTCGCTAATGGTCGTCTTCTCTTCCTATGGGCTGATTTAAGTCAGGGCTATTTTACAGATCGAATTAGGGTTTAGCAAGCTGTTAGGTCTCCAACCCTCCCTCTTCCGCACTGCCCCTTCGGCCACACCACCGATTGTACACTCTTTTCCATTATCGATCATCGTTTACTTCATTAAATTGTCAAAAAAACATCACAAAAGAAGTATCGCGTTCACGAGGATTCAAACCTACTTTATTCCTATCTTCTTGTTTATCTCTTCTGTCGGCACTACCTCTTCTCGATATTTCAGCTCCTGCAATGAAAAAACACAAATAGAAAAAATAAAAATCTAAGATATTGCTTTCTCCAAAGGCACGGTTATCAAATTCCAAGCAGAGGATATAAAATGTCATCCTTAACCTGAGAGGGAGGGGGTTGTCGCGACAAAAATTGAATTTTCCTCTTACCGGATAAACTACTACAGACCCGTCAGGCTTTTCAACTTCCACAGACTCAACTCTGCAGAAAAAATATCCATAATGATTATCAAATTATTTATAATATCTGAAAATATTATTAATTTTATGTGTACTATCAATAAAGCTAGTCGTTTGTTTCTTTCTTTGTCATTTTGACCCGTTTTATTCGATATTTTAATCTATTCGATTTTGACCCGTTTTATTCGATA